ATTTCATTTAAAACGCGCTTTAAGTTCGACAACTTTCGTCTTCACACCTGTTTTATTTCGAAATGACTGGTTGATCATGAATGATTACCCGCTTAAATGCGTTGTCTTCTGTGATCAACAGTGAAGATTAATTGCGTTTTCTTGACTTCGCAAACAGTCCCCTGCACATCGGAGTTATTGAAGTGCATTTACTCTCTTCAAATTGATTAAGTACAATTGTCAAAGCTCATCAAAATCTTCCCATTCTCGTCTTAAAAAATGTTAAGATTTGGTTATATATAATGAAGATTCCCCGGAGTCGTTCCTATAAGTATATCTCATCACACTACCCTTCGTCGACTTGATTAAGAATCTTTACTTATCCTTAGTACCGAAGTTTTCCGAAAGTTCGCCCAGGGCGGTTAAAAGGGAAATTCTATTTTATTTCTACTTTTGGATCCAAAATAACCTCCCATTCGAATAAGCGCCCATGGACAATAATATAGAAGTTAGAAATTTCACCTAAGAAGAATATATATAAGGATATATATGCTTCCGTTTGTGTCTAGAGCACGCATATTGTGCATTCAGAAGTACTTCTGCTTACCGCAAGAGCTCTTGTCATTGATACGGAAGAATCCGGGATCACAAGCGCCACGATGCCTGCATCCAAGAAGACCAACTCGCATAGCAATACGACCCCTCCAGCTGATTGGATGGATACGCACGTACCGCGCCACTATGGGAGCCGATAAGTAGTGGACTCGTTCTGTCAACGTTTGAGTATTGCCTGTGAACACCTGAAGGTGAAAAATGCTATCAAGGGCTGGACATCACATTGAGATAATGTTAACTTGAAAGTCAATAAGAAATTAATCCGAGATCTCGTTGGCTACCATTTAAAACAAATGTCTAAAAGATTAAAAAGTCATAATATCTAGGCAGAATAAAACTTTACGAAGAAGAAAATCAGGTCTTCTATTGCCTTTTACACCAATGTAGAACGACTGCGACATTGTTTGGGGCGGGGGGGGGGAAACAATACCTGTCTTCAAATCAAACACCCAACTCATCCCTTAGGCCCGGGATTATCCTTCGGGAAGTTTGATCTGATACAGCCGACGCTTATTGTCAACAATTAGAGAACTTCATCAACAATTAAAAGACAAACGCCCAAGTGTGTTTAATAGAAGAGAGTAATTCTTCAGAATGAAAAATGCCCGTCTCTAGCGCCCAAAAGCGAGAACGACATCTTGAAAAATCCGATACCTAAATAAGGAGATTCAACCAGCCATAACCTCTTGTAAAGGTAAATTAAATTTGGCCATAAATGATGAATAACGTTGTGTTACTAATTGATGTCATTCAAATTGTGCTCAGAACTCTCTTACTGGCATATGACCTTAGATTTTCTTTGTAAAAATAAATAAATGAATATTGTAGATACATTATAATACATACTCTTTGATCTAGATGAGCAGCGTCTTTGTAGAAAAACCAGAGAAGACTGTCATTGCTGTAGGACATTTTAAAGAGAGTGACGTATTGTTGCCATTTTCCGTCTCCACGCGGTCGAAGAACAACTGCAGTGATAAGGGTTGGCGGTCCCAGGTCAATTTGGTACCATTGCATACCTGAAGGCGAAGAAATAGTTAGAAATGTGAGTAGTGGGAGACTTGGGACATGAGTTTCGGGAAAATTAGTTCTTCCTTCCCCAACTCAATGAATACCTGATACTGCTTTATTTTTTCCAAAAGCTCTTCTGAAAAGATTTGCACGGAACCTTGACTTCCTGAAATTTGTCATCTTAACTATTCTTCTCTTGTCTTAGGCTTAAAATAGCCAGAAATCGGACACAGCAAGGCCTGGTTGATAAATTGGGTCTGATGAATGATGACCCAGGTCGTGATAAAAAGGAACTATCTACCACCCTAAAAACATTTGATTTACAGTCTCTCAGTTCAACGGATATGAGGAACCGCTCTATTAGAGGTAGAAATTGACTCTGGTGTCCATTTTAACCACGCTAGTCCTATCAAAAAAATAACTACGTTCTTTCCTGGCATCCTGAACAATTCGTTTCTACCTAAACTTGATGTTCGTTAAATCATCGGTTGCAGACGATGGCTTATCCGCTCTATAAGTTTATAATTACTAGGTTAGTTCTGTAAGGTTAATATTCTATTGTCAGTAAAAGAGATTAGCGCAGGGATGGCAATACTTGAACCCAAATCTAGCCACAGGAAATGCCGAGGCATGGGCGGGCTCAGAAATTAATAATCTGTTTCATATGGCGATTGTTTGCGGGATATTAAGCGTCCTTAGATGACCTCGAATATTAGTCAATAGGATTCGTTAAGTATTTATCTTCTGTTACTTGAAACAACATGATGACCTGCGTAGAGGCAAACTCAAAAGAATGCGAGAATATGATATTTAAACAACCAGATTGTCCAAGCACGAAAATGGGTGTCTTCTCATCTCAAGCCAATTCTTCAGATGGGGAAAAGATGTTTCTATTAAATCATCAGTCTTTTCCCGATAGGAAAGTACTGAAGTTTGCATCACTACTTAAATCATAAATCTGAAAAAATATTTAAACTAAGACATTTAAGCATTAAACGCACGAATTATTATTTTTGATAAATACACCCAAACGCACTCACACGTGTCCCACAACAAACTGATGTGGACGTGATGAGTTTTGATGATATCAGGCGAAGGCTGTAGACATATCAAATGTGCTTCAAACAGCAATTGCGCCTTCTGTTACGAGTCTCGTACCGATGGAGCTTATTTTTAAATAAGACCATACGGTCCTAAAGGGGTTAAAGGGTTGAGTAAAACCTTAGATTTTTATGACTTCTAGTGTGATTTAGACTACTCCACGCGGTGCACTCTGGGCAACGTATACTCATGCGCTAAAAATGTCTATTAACCGGCAGTTGACTTCTGACTCAAACTACCCTGACCCCACTGAATGTCATATTCGACCCTTTCAACAATACTCATCTTACCTGTTCTCTGCCTTAGCGTCTGTTTGCCTCTTTTACATCCGTGAATCATTCTTCTGTTCCCCACCCCTCGACGTTTTGTTGCTTTGATGTTCCTTCTCCTCTCTATGTAGCCCGAAGTTAACAAAAGGGCTAATGATAACTATCAAAACGCCTGCTATTTGAAATGAATGAATATTGTCCGAAGCTGTCTAAGCAAACTCTGGAGGTGGCTCTATGTATAGCAATACAACCCTAATCACCCCCATCTCCATTGATTCTCGTTCCAAGTGGTCATCTTACTTAAAAAGTGACAACCAATCATGAAAAAAAACGTGAAAACCCGGACGCTGAGACATATCTCCTTCCACTTTGCAATAAACCGTCCACTTTTGTCCGAACTGGTCTTAAGGCCAATAGAGGTTAGAATGATAGCATTTGTTGAATCAGTTCCTTCCAACAGTTAATTAAATTTACTATCTTTTTATTTCACTGATAAAACAGGCTTCCATTTCAAAAAAATGTGTAGAAGGGGAAATTGTTATGCCTACAAGAATTTCACCTTGGAAATATCTCAAGCAAAGTATATGCAAATTAAATCTTCCACATTTGTAAACACCTACACCGTGATTTCGAACAGTAAAATCATGCTGTGGATAGAGGCTAAACCAAGACAACATACCATTTTGTCGTTTTGAGCACCAGGCTTTATTGCTGTAGTAATGTCCATCTTCGGCGCTGCACGTCTTGCCATACTTTTTACTTCGTGTTGTGGAGGCTGCAAAGCGGGCGTATGGAGGGGTTCCGAGGAGTTGGCGGCAAGCTGAAAAGGAAGAAGAGAGAGGTAGCCATCAAAATACTCTGCTATTCTTGTGATCGAGTATTTGAGTGAATTCATGAAATAAACTCTGGGACAAAGGCAGGAGTTCAAACAAAGATATCGGAAATCGATAAAGCCTAATTTGGAAAGAAACAAAAAAAGAGTTGAATTATATTTGTCAGTCGATGTATAATTGAATGCTCTTTAAACTCATGCCCCCCTCCCCCTTCAGTACATCATTTTAGACTTGTTCTATCGATTTAGTACCGTTCTTGAAACTTATGCTCTAGAGATGTGGAAGTCCGAATTTTTATGGAGTACTATTTACATTTTCTCTGAAGGATGGCAAAAAGAGTACTCTTTTGACAAACGGATACTCAGGAATAGTTATGGGAAATCGTACTAGGGCTCCCTAATTCAAGTGTTTTTTTTTGGAAAACACACTGTTGCTTCTTAAAGAGTTCTTTTAAAGAGACTTGCATTAAATATAAAGCTATCACTGTGAATGACTATCTGACAGATGGTATTTCAATCACCATTGTTTTTATATGGGATTTTAAGCAATCCGGAATTGAGCACTAGTAGTCTTTATGGCTCGTTGTATTAGATGAGCAACGATTCCTATGATAGTGCAAGACCACTTCGAAATTTGTTTACCATTAACATTTGCGTGCAGTTGAAGTATGCAATTCATCAGTTAAAATCGAATTCAATTTTGGTGAGTAAACGGATTTTAAAAACTTATTGAAAGAATTGTAATGAATGACAAAAGGATTCTGAGGTTCGAAACAACAGAATAGTGTCAATAATAACTGACTTGTCAACCAGTAAGATAATTTAATGCTTACTTTCCGTTTCTTTGCATTTACTTTTATTTTTAAGGAAGACTTACGCTGGCATCCAATAAGCTCGATTCGGAGACTTGGATGACGATTCCAGGTGAAGGGAAAGATGCGGACGAATCGGGTCACCACTGCCTCGTCCAAGTATGCGTGTTTCACCAAGTACGAATCGGTGTTGCCTTCAAAGATCTACAAAATAATTCGTCAGAACAGTTCAGAGGCTTGGCAATCCCTCCACATCGAGTTCTTCCTGGCTTTAGCATAAATTTTGCCGATCTTATTCTCATGCCAATGGAATACTAAATCCTGAATTAGCACAATAAAGCCTCTAAAATATTCGACCAACTTATCGTTCTCTAAGGAGATACATTTTCCCCTTTTTATTTGATCCATCAATATTCATATTTACAAAATGCTTAAGTATTTGCACCATTCATTTGCTTAATAATTTGTCTAAAATTCAGGACTCTGAACCGAGAGGTTAAGCGGTTCTGAAACAGATTTCGATATACCATCCATATCATTGTGGCAAATTAGTTATTGACATTCTGATAGGTGAGTCAAACGTTCAATTATTGGTCAACAAATTAAAGAGCTGAATAAGTTATGAGTAGGTACAGGCGTGAGAGGGGGCGGCTCACAATAATTGGTCGATTCAAAAGCAGACTACTAATCGCGTGTTTTTGCTATTGGTTAAAAACTTTGTCTGAAAATAACGAGGTCTCCTCTAACTACCCTATTTCAATCCCTCTACATAAATTTAAAAGATGTGAGCCTTTTTCTAGCTTGCATATCCTTTTAACGAAATTAGCGAGATCAAATTCACCCTTGCTGGAGAATTTAGCGAATACTCTCAGATGAATCGCACAAAACTATTGGGAAGCAGTGGGAGAATAGGGGGGTGAATGTCAATATGCCTCTGCGTTATCTTGACAAGTTCTTAATTACTGACACGTTAGCTAAGCAAAACATCTTAAAATACCTGGCGTATTCTTTCACAGACAATTCCTTGAAACAGGTGGGTAAATACTGGACACACAAATTGTTTTCTTGGTGCAAACTAAGCCTGTCAGCTCAATCTGACGCTTATTTGCTAAGGCATATAACTCCCAGGATAAACGGTGAAGTTATCAATTTTTTCAAGCTATCAATCTCCGCTTCACCAAAAAGGCAAATTCTTGTATTTTCCTTTTGATATCTAAGAAATAGCTAAAAAATATATCAAGAAATTTATACGCGGATTGCTTAGATGTTCTGCAATGAAATTCTTTTCAAAAATTAAAAATGCATATTTCAAACCTAGCAATTATCTCCATCACATTTTAAGGGGTAATCAAGTGTAGATTATGTTAAATTAAATAATAATATATTAAAAGGTAATTTACAGGTTCATTTTTAATGTTAAAATTAAAAAATGACCGTAAAATTGAATAGCTAAGGGTGATTTTGACTTAGCGCTAATAATTTATCATTGTGTACGGATCCAACATCACTTCCTTAATCATGCCCACATAATCTTCCAAAGATATTCTTGAATAAAGGGTATTTTCCAAGAAGTCTGGGCCCCAGATGCTGGTTCTATTCTTTTTCTAGTGGAATTGAGGTCTAAATCATTTGATTGATCTTGGCGAAGCAAAGCACAAAATTTTCAAAACGTTTTTCAAAGTTTTATTTTTTCTGGGACACCAACCGCTGTTTGACTGCTTCCTACTGGAGGTTCTAGTGTTTTCGAATCGAAATATTCATGAACGTCTAGCAGTAAGATGAGAATTTTCAATAATACAATACTTATTTAGATTTTAAACTTCAAATTTATGATCAGCTTTGTGAAAAGACGGAGACGATTTCAGGAAACACGATTTCGTTGGCAGAACTAACTGGAGGATATCTTCGCGGTGAAACCAGTGGAAGTTCACTGAAGGCAGCATAATCGTCCTACTCCAGTTATTATTTAAAATATTTCATTGTAGCTTTTCAAGGTGCTTATTTTCAATTATTCGATCTTAACTAACTAGTTGTTGGAATAAAGAAGCGTTTTAATACGATTGGATGTAAACATACTCTTTGGTTGCCATAGTGATTATTGGCGAATCGCCAGAATATTCCATCGTCACTGAATGAGAGGGTATAGGACGCAACCCATTCCTCACCGTCTCCACGACCTTGCAGCATAACTCCAGTGATCTGCAAAGTCAAAAATAATAAAACTGAAAAATTCCTCATTGTTTAAAGAAAAGCAAAAAAATTATAAGAATAGTAAAAAGGTAAAATGTTTGTTCATAGAATGACAACATTTCAAAATTTATTTTTGGTTTAATATTTTTTTACTTTTTACAATTGTAAGATTGCCTATATGCACATTGAAAGTGATAAAAAAAGATATGACATCTTATGAAAAATCCTGTATCGTTATAAGATAGAATTCAAAATTAAATACATTCCATTTCTCTCTTTTATCTAAATTCATAAAATTTTCCAGAGTTGAAAGGAAAGGTTTATCGATTGGCCTATTTGAGAGGATTTCCGGTGAGTATTTTGCCTCATTTTTGTCTTCTTGGACTCTTCAATTCAGTTTTGAAAACAGGTCAATTAGTTCTTTATTCAATATTTTATCATAATTTATTCATCAATTATTATTATTATTATTATTGGAGGTTATTGCAAACCCAAAACAATGTAATACATTCAACATATATATCCACTGGTAGGTTGTGATTATGAACCCAAAATTTCAAATCCAATTTTGTTGTTTTAAAGGGTTGAAAAAGAACAATTCTTACAAATGATTTAGTTTAGAAATCGATTGAATGATTTTTTTTTAATTTGACAATTCTATCAACCACAGGTTGTGCGATGGTGGAGAGACGTCGTGAACGCGAATGTCGATCATGACTAGAGTTATGTGTCAAAGAATAATCGGTGTACCGCTGGTAAAAAAATACGTAAAGGGAGGAATGCGCGTTTGCCACTAAAACGCCTACGGATGGGATACTTTTTTACCTCAAACATTTTCGTAACCGGGGTGGGGTGGGG